GATATTGCTGCAATAGTGACACAAATTTTTCTATATGTATGTAGGAAAATGCCACAAATTTAAGAGCTTTGGGGATTTGTATACAGAGGAGGCAATAGAAAAAGAGTGAATACAGTGTTATATATATGTGTATATATATATATGTGTGTATATATATATATATACACACATATATATATATTTTAAACCCTCAAAGCAAAATCACCCTTTCTGAGTTTAAAACACTTTATTTCAGCAAAATGAATGACTTGTATTTTCCTTCCATATCAATATTAAAACATTTAGGGTTGTTGGTGGTGGTGATGCATGTATGTATGTTTTAAGAACTACAAAGTGTATAGGAACAAGTGTACTTTATCTTTTCTAAGCAAAAAAATCATCTCTTGATGATTTAAGAAAACTTTATATTTATTCTTCTCTATTGTCCCAAAAAAACCTTTGTGTGGTTGAAGCTGGACTTGGTCCAGGGGGTTGGGGAGATTTTTCAAATTCTCTTTTAATCCTTGGTCTTTGTTTTCTTGCTCTAGCCAACCATCCTATTGCTGTAGCCTTTATTCTTTTGAGAAGCTGTGTTCTTTTGATTTATTGTAGTTACCTCATAGACTTAAAGTAATATAATGAAACTTTAGAGCTTAATGACTTTTGAGGTCTCCTAGTTCAAATCTTATATTTGAGAAATTTAGAAGGTGAGACTGGAAAGTTGAAATGACTTGCCCAAGACAACTTAACTAATTAGAGGTAGACAGCTGCCATTTGCTACCTGGTTTAACTATAAACACTGAAATCAAAAGAAGACTAGAAAAGCATTATAAAAACATGTCTAACTTGTTTACCGGTTGTTGTAGTGGTTGAGGGGAGATGGAATAAAGCTAACATCTGGTAGTGGTGGTGGGGTTTGGGATTCAGATAAGATTTTTTTTGGTAACTATGAAAGCTCCATTTTAAATAAATGGAGATTTTTTTTTCTCTGTCAAAAGCAAACAACAACAACAGCAACGACAACAACAAACTCCAGCATAACTGGGAAGGTACTGGCATAGGATCCAGAATCTGCAAACCTTTCTTGGTCCAGGCACTGTGTGAGATACTTTCATAAGCATTATTATAATTTACGATTTGAACACTATTTCTAGTGTGGTAAATTAGTTAACTGTTCTTTTTCCTAGTTTTTGTATTTGTAGAAAGGGACCCAATGTTATTCAATTTCATTAGATGTTATGAGACATAAGAATTGATATATGATTGAAACATGTAATATACATTTGGCAGAGTATTGTAAGATTGCAAATTTGTGCTTTATGCAAACACAGATATCACAAAAACAAATATGGACTATAATATTTAGATCAATATAAAGGCCATGGTTTATTTTTGGAACCATTCAGAAAGTATTTAGAAATTTGGGACTATATTTAATCATAAAGGAGGAAATAAAATAACCCATAATTTTACCTTATTATTTCATTATGAAATTTACTTCCTAGTAATATTTTGATATATGTCATGTAAGTTTTTTATCTATGTATGTATGAGAAGAAAGAACATGTCTAGCTTGTTTACTGCCCTCTCTCTGGTGCCCATAATAGTGCCTGGCTCATAGAAGGTACTTAAAAAATAGTTGAGCAAATGAAAAAAAAAAATTCTGCAAGATTGGATCATACGGTAGGTACATTTTTATATTTAAAAACTCATTAAATTTTTTTATGTTAATAGTCTTGTAGAACTTTTTTTTTTTTTTGAGACGGAGTTTTCGCTCTTGTTACCCAGGCTGGAGTGCAATGGCGCGATCTCGGCTCACCGCAACCTCCACCTCCTGGGTTCAGGCAATTCTCCTGCCTCAGCCTCCTGAGTAGCTGGGATTACAGGCACGTGCCACCATGCCCAGCTAATTTTTTTTTGTATTTTTAGTAGAGACAGGGTTTCACCATGTTGACCAGGATGGTCTCGATCTCTCGACCTCGTGATCCACCCTCCTCGGCCTCCCAAAGTGCTGGGATTACAGACAGGCTTGAGCCCCCACGCCTGGCAGAACATTTTAAATCACTACATTTTATACTGTCATATGGATGTACCACAATTTGTTTTACCATTACGTTACTGACTTAGAACTTTCAATATTATAGTACAAAAGTCCACTTATAAGAATATTTTGTTTATTATTAAACTGATAAAAATGTTAAAATTGATGAAAAATAACTCCCATGATTGTAGTATAATGATCTCACCAAACTTTGTCACCTCCTTCAAGTTTTTGCTTAAATGTCTTCTTACTGAGATCTACCTTGACCATCCTATTTAAAATTACAACCCTCTAAACATTCCTGTTCTCTCTAATGCTGTTCTGTTTCCAGAATCTTTTTTCAATATTGAACATACCGTATAATTTGTGTATCTTTTAAACGTATCACCTTTCTGTCCAACTGGAATATAAGGTCTATGATGGCAGATAATGCTAGACTGTTTTTGTTGCTCGTATTCCCCGATGTCTTGAACAAAGCCTAGACATTGTACATGTTCAGCAACATTTATTGAATGGTTTATTGAAACTTTAAAAAAGGAAACTTTTTAAAAATTATTCTTACTTCAGTTTCAGAATCCTTTTTTCTTCACATGGGCAACTCTCATCAACCAATTTTTGCACTGGCTAAAACTTCCATTTTCTCCCTTTGAACATGTACATGTTATCCAGTTAAATAAAATCATGGCACTTGATTGAATCTTAGGCCTATGCTGGATAACGTCAAATGCCTTGTAACAAATACCCCAAGATTTTACCCCCTTCAAGTCAGTCTGAACTCTGTCTTTAGGTAGGTGGATGGTTTTAGATGAGTAATGTCACCAGTATCACTCCAAATAATCCCCTTCCTCATCTGGAAGTCCTTCTGGTAAGAATCTTGAGGCTTAGGTCTGAACTGGGCAAACTCAGGTTAATCTGATTATTTATCTGTACTTTGGGATGATTTTACCTTAGTCTTCCCCTAACTAATATTGGTCATATTCTTAAAGTTTCCTTAGGAAAGACATTTTACAAACTTTTATTTGCTTTTTCACTATGTATGGTTTATAGTTTTCTTTAAAAATAATATAGTACTTGGGAGGCTGAGGTGAGAGAATTGTTTTGAGTTTAGGCATTTGAGGTTGCAGTTAACTATGATAGTGCCACTGCATTCCAACTTGGTCAGTAGAGTGAGATCCAGTTTCTTGAAAAAAAAAAATAATATAAAACAATAAACATATTACCACTTTAAGTTATTTGTGGATATGTTAATTAAAATCTTTTATGCAATAGCAATTTATATAGCTACAGTAATCCCTTATATTTATATGGTATTTATAGTTTCAAAGCTTTTTAATAAACATGATCCCTTTTAATTATAACCCTATGAGACACACAGGACCTGGTTTATTATATTCTTTTTACAGATGAGGAACCAAAGCACACAAAAGTTAAAAGACTTAGTCTAGATCATAAATGTAGGAAGTGGAAGCAAGATCACGAAAAATCTAAGTTTTTTTAGTTCTACTAGTTCAGTACCTTTTTTTTTCTTTTAGTCACTTTCACTTCGTCTCATAATCATGTTTTAAATCATCTTTTTGTTGACCTTTCTTGAAAGATTCTATGAAAATGAAAATAAATGATTAGAATTTTTTTTTTTTAATTTTATTTCGGTCTACTATTCATTCTTGTTCTCAGGGGTTTTCCTTTAGTTTTTTTGTGGTTCTTTTTTTTTTTTTTTTAATAGTCTTTATCTTTTCCTTCATTCTGGCTATGAACATGGCCTTTTGTAGCAATTTGTGAAACTACTGGCTGCCATGTCTGCCTTTTGACCTTACAGAGGAAAGACATGAAACAGGAGATTAGAGTTTCATAAAGCAGAGAAAGGAAAAAAAACCTAGGGTAAGTGGTACTTAGAGACATAGGTAGCTAGGCCTCAATAAGACCCATAGATAAAAAGTGGAGTTAAAGGACAGATTCTAGTATTTTTCTATAATGGAATATAGTTTTTGGTGTCAATTATCCAATCTTTTAGCTAATACATTGTGTCTGCTGCTGTATTAACTTTCTCCTGAGGCTGTTCCTATCCTAGTAGACCTTTACTACTCTGTCCCATATCTGCTGTGGTGAATAGGACTTACTTTTTCACATCCAGAAATGTGAAATGGACAAGTAGCTAAGAGACCAGGGCATGGTCATGGTCTTAGATGGACTACTGGCACTCAGGTACAGAAAAACAAGGTGGAATCTTAGTTATTGGAATGAAGGCAAAAGGTCAAGGTCAAACGAGCAATAAGGTATATAATTTTATTCCAAGTTCTAAGGAATTATGTTGGAGTCCTTCTTAGGTGAATTTAAGGTGGTCCTAGAGCATTGGCTCTCTAACTTTTGAGGTATGTAAGAATCACTTGGGTGGTTAGGACTTATCATGTGGGGGTCAGGTGTCTATATTTTTTGCAAGCATTCCAAGTTATTCTGATGCAAATGTTTATAGATTGAATTTGCAGAAAATTTCCATAAAACCTAGGATGACATTTATTGTAGCATAAGGGGCCATGTCACTACAACTGTTGAGAGAGGGGGTATCTGGAATTTCAAAGTCAGAACTTTCTACTAAGAGAAAAATGTATGTCTTGTGCCAGAGCTGAGTTTTGTTTATCTGCATGTAAGAAAGCAATAAACATGGGTTGATATGCACTGGACTGGTATGCTGTAAATCTGTTAGGTTTTTCTCTTCATGTATCTTGTTTCTTGTGTTTATGACTTGAATGCTTTTGTAATATCTAACAAAGATTTATACCTTTTAGTGTAAAAAAAGTAAGGCTGATTATACTTTTGGGCCTAATCTAAGTTGTCCCTCATTTTTACTTTCCTTTTGATATCTGCCTGATTAAATTACCCCTGTTCCTTCCACTTTCATAAATTGATTAGCACGAGTTGGGCAGACTGCTGTAATGCTAAGGGTTAACCAGAAGAGAATTACAAATGAACTATCTAGAAAGTTGATTATTAATCCAGCTAGAGAAGAAATATCCTTTTACTTAGCAAGAATGAGTATCCGAAGAGCTGATAATATTGTTCAGGCAGCAGGGTGGAATGGCAGAGCTTGGTAAGTAAAACAAAACTTGGATTTAATCTTTTATATACACTTTTTAAAATGATTAGAATGTTAATATATTTAAACAATTAAGTCTAAGATGAATTTACAAGCTGCTGTAACAAATCTAAAAAGTTCTAAATGTGTTTGTTAATGAGATCCCCATACATGCTATTGGTAGATGGTAACTAAAAAGTATTTACGTAAGTAGATAAATATATTTAATTTTGAATATTTATAAAAATACATGATTAGGTTTGTGATTAAGAACAAGGAAGTGGGCATGGATAAATGATTACTAAAACAATCTAAGTCCAAACCTCAAGGAATATAAACTGAAGAATCTTGAGTGACAAACTCTCTTGTTTTTTTCACAAGAGGAAGTCCTGGATTCTTAGGTATTAAAATGTAATTTAAAGTAAAATATTCACATAAAGATTCACTGAGTTATTTTCCAGATGTCTAGTTAACAAAAACTGTTATAGGTTCTGATATTTTTTGGGCCCCAGTACTCATTTCATTATGATGTTTAATAAGGACTTTTCTAAAGACAGCTTTTATGGTATTTGTGAATTGGAAGGAAAGAGAAATGAGAGGATCTGTGCTATTTGTACAAAGAAAATTAAGTGAAAAGATATGATTTTAATAATGTTCTTCCACTAAAGACTGCTCCTCCTGTTGTAGAAGAAATTTTGATGACAATATTTAATTCTATAAGATTGAGATTTTGCATGAATTACTTCATATTACAAAAATGAGCCTTTTAAACATAATGTGGACCATACAATATTGAATATTATTAAAACTATGTAATCATAAGTCATTTCAATGTACTATTATTGTACTTGGGAGAAGTTAAGAAATATATTAAATGACTTACATTGCAATTTCACACAAACAAATGCACATTTTTAAAATCTTTTCTTTCAACATACATCTTGAGTAGGAATAAAAACAATTCAAATTAACATTTTGTCATTTAATGCTTAAATGAGCACAGAAAAAGTATCTTTTCAAAAACTAAAAATTCAATGTTGGAAATCTACACGATATATGTGCCTGTGTTTGTGTATGTGTATTTGTCAAAATACATTCAAAATGCACGTATATAGGACTAAATAGTGTACATTTAGTCCTATATACTCGGCTTTTGTTAGTTCTAATGTTCTGGCCTATATTTAAGACTGGGAATAGTAGATTATTGTAAGTGAAATAATAAAAATAGTTAACATTTATTGAGCTCTTGTGTGCTAAATGCTGTGTTTTTAATCTCATTTAATCCTCAGATTAACTCTGTGCTTGTTGGAAAGCTGTAAGGATTATAGTGTATGCTAAAACAAAAGATAAGCTAATTAAAGAACCCCTAACATCTGATGCTAAAAGTCTGGAGAATAAAGGCCCAGGAAACAAAATGTAAAAGAGGGGAGGTCCCTAAATTCTATATGCTTGTATTTCTTAAAATTGGAAGATTTGATATGAGCCTGGGAAAGAAGAGGGAAAGGAAATGAAGTAGCAAATTCTTAGCATTCATTAATTCTTTAAATAATTTTTATGAAGAAAATTTCAGTCATACAAAAATGTTTAAAGAATGGTATAAATACCTATGTGTTTATAAGAAATAAAACACTACTAATACAGTTGAAGCCTTTCCTAGTTTTATGCCTCCTTCTCTTCATGCTAGTGGTAATGACTCTTGAATTTGATGTCTTTTATTCCCAGGCTTCTTAAAAAACATTATGCTTAAATTCCATATTTCTTATATGGTAGGGAAAACTCCACCTACCATGCCTTGGGATCCAAGAAATACTTTTTCTTGGCTTCCTATTATACTTTAATTAAACAAACAAAAATTATTCTTAACATAAAAGACCCTGGCCCCGCAGAATCTGACCCCTGTATTGCCAGCCTCGGTTCTTGCCTTTCTCCCAAATGCTTCTTTCTGATCCAGCTACTGTACTAGTCTACTGCCAGTTTCTTGGACCTTCCAAATTCTTTTCTATACCAAGGTATTCACATAATGCCGTCTTCTCAACTGGAATGCACCTCTTTCCACTCTTCATCAGAATGATTCCTATTCATTCTTTAGGTCCCTGTTTAAATGTCATTTCTTCAGCGAAACCCTCCCTGCTCCTTCCAGTGCAGATCTTGTCTCCCTGCGAAGATCTTGTTTCTTATCCTTTAATTTATTTCATAGCAGATATTGCAGTTTGAAATTATGTATCTGTGTGATTTTTTAGTGTCTGTCCTTCATTCTGGACTGGCCCATTTTTTTCTTGGATGTTTTACTTACCATGTAGCACACATGGTCTTGCACATTACAAGCATTCAGTAAATATTTGTTGTTGTTATCAGGGAGAGAAATGTAGTGAGTGAGAAAGAGTGAAAAAAGGGAGATTGAGAGAAAGTAAAGTACATAAAAATAGAGTCTGTTGGTTGGTTTGGATATAGTGTTTAGAGAAAATTATGCAACTTGATGCTAGCAAAGATTGGGGTGAGGGTGGTGGTAGAAACATTTTTTTTTTTTAATATCTAGCTGTAGAACATTTAACAGCTTTTCTTCATTTTTTTTTCTTTTTCTTTCTTTTTTTTTTTTTCCAGTGCAGTCTATCACTTTTGTGTCCTCGCTGCTTTGGGGAATCTGTATTCCTGGACACAGGAATTGAACTTTCAAGTTGTAAACTTGTGGAGCAGCCCCAGTGGCTATAATCTTATTGTGGAAATGCTATAATGGGCTCTAAAAATCTGGAAAAATTTAGGACACAGTTGAGATAAAAAGGCCTGGTATTTTTGTAGAGAAAAGCCATGAGACCACATGGAAGGGTTTTAAGGTAGATAACAATAACTAAAATATTCATAGTGTTTCCAGTTGCTAAAATGTTGCTAGACTTTCTTCAGGAGAATATAGAAAAGGTTATAAAAAAGGAAAAAGAAAATGAAGTCAGTCTGAGAGGATAGCTGGGTTTATAAAATGTCAGAATATACTTATATTGTATTCTATGTAAATCTTTGCTGGCATTTGCAATTAAGTCCAAGGCTAAAAGATTATGCTGGGATATTTTTTTGTTGGTGATGAGGGAAAAGGAGATAAAAAAGAGGATTTAATTAAAATGTTTTGGTGTTAAAAGGAGGGGATTTATAGTGTCTCACTTGAAGTGCCTGTATTATTAATAACATTGCACTTTATGTTTTTATTACATGTTATACTTGCAAGTGAACTTTTTCTTGTATTATTTTATATATTTATTTTTACTTATCTGCATTTTATTTTATACCAGTAAATGACTATGGAATTATAATAGTGTCTTTTTTCATCTTATTCAATGTAAAAATTTCTTCTTCATAGTAAAAATACAATTAAAAATGTAAATCTCATAATATTTGCAAAGATGAAAAATCAGTAGATTCCGCTGAGGCCTTATAGTAACCCTGTGAGATGGTTAAAGTAGAGCTGTTATTACCTTTGTTTCACAGCTAGGAAAACTGGGACAGAAATCAGACAAGAGCCAGGACTAAAACCTTTTTTTTTTTTTTCTTTTTAAATGTATAGGTGTAACTTTCTAGGTAAGATAAATATTCACCTCACCCCTGCATTTCCCAAAAGATTTAGATTGGAGGTTGTTTTTCTAAGGACCAGGATGAATTAGGTGGATGTCCTCCATAAGTTTTCTAGATTTGAAGGTTTTATTTTTTCTAATTTCCTAAAGATGCAAAGTAGTTAACAATTTCCAGCATAAGGAACTGAGATGGTTAAAGGCATATAATTAACAGAGACACATTACTAAGCCTAATTATAAGTTAAGCCTTCTTGGATGAAGTTTAATGGTTAATTTGTTGCCCAATATTTTAGGGTTCCAAAAATAAGGAGAAACAGGTGTGGGCTTAAAAGAATGAAATATCTTAATTTTTAGTAAATGAGCTGTGGCTCAAAGAAGCCATGTGATAAGGCAGAAGATAGTAGCCTATTGGGTTGACAACCAAGTCACATGAGCTGAAGATGGGTTGGTGCCCATTTAAAAGATATTTTAAAAGAGACAACAAAGAGCAATGTGTATGCCATGTATATGTACATGTGCAGGTAGGTAGAGGGATATTTTTTTTGAAAACAAATGCCAGGAAGTATTTTTAATGATTACCCAAGAATGCTGTTGCCTCATTAAGGTAAAAGCCAAATCTTGTTGTGTTTTGTTTTTTCCATTGGACAAATTGCCAGGTTGCAGAGAAATTCAGTTTCTCACACTTTCCTGGGCTCACTGGCAAAAACTTCCCTTAGGTGAAAAGAACAAGGCATGTTTATTCTGTAAAACAGAAATCTTAGGAGAATTCAGTAGGCATCCTGGGATGGCTAGAGTGCTGTCATAGTCAAAAGAGTTTATACTGTGGAGTGCTAGACTGGAGTTAGTAGTTGAGTCTCAGAACCAAAGTCACAGGCAAGCAGAAGAAATAACTTTGTAACAGTTATGGTGGACCAAAAATGGAATGGGATTTTTGCTGAGATGATGAAGTTCTTGTCACTAGAAGAATTGAGGAGACAGATTAAATGTTGAGTTATTCCAAATTATTTCAGTATTAAAGTTTATGAGAAGATGTCCTCTGTGAGTCACCTGGCTAAGACAGGGAAGTGAGTCAACTTAAAGGACAAAGATATACTCCTCTATTATGTGAAGCCAAGAATGAAGTTCATGAAGGCCAGATGTACTTTCTGAGTTGCTCAAGCATATGAATAATAAAAAAAGGTGTGTTTTTATCTGTAGACAGCCAATTGATATCTGGAATTACCTCAAGTAAGAACTTTAGACTTCACCATGTATCCCCAAACCTCTTAAGAATTGGTGTAAGTGGAACTGTTATTATAAAAGGAAAAAAGATAAATCATTTTGTTTCTCCATAGGGTCCAGATGTGGAAAATAAGAATTTTAATCTGCATTTGGAAGAACAGATTTTAAAAGTAATAATAAATTAATTTACTTATCTTTAAAAAACTTCCGATCTTCTGGCACGTTAAAAAGATAGTA